ATGTAAAATTACATTAATTGCCACACGGTACACAAATTTCAGACCTTCAAGATGAACAGTCAATACAGATTCATAATTAAAATCATCAATACCAAGTCCTGGAGAAACCACATCTGCGATCCTAGCTTTTCAAGATAAAAAAAGACGGACACTGCAAAGATAATCTAATCAAACAGAGTCAGCATGGCTTCATGAAAAGGAATTCATGTCTGAACGAATTTAGTTTTTATTAGAGTTTTTTGAGGAAGTCTAACCAGAGTGGACAGAGGAGAACCAGTAAATGTGTTGTATTTGGATTTCCAGAAGATATTCAACAAGGTACCTGATAAAAGGTTAAGTGACAAATAAAAGCCCATGGTATTGGAAGTAATTTATTGGCACGTACAGGAATTGGCTCATCGGCAGGAAAATGCGAGTGGGGATAAGGGGTACTTTTTTTAGGTTGGCAACCTGTGACCAGTGGAGTACCACAGGGATCAGTCCTGGGACCACAACTGTTTATTGATTTATTTACTTATTGTCATGTGTACCGAAATGTAGTGAAAAGCTTTGTTTACGAGCGGTACAGGCAGATCATAGTAAGCAAAGGATGTACAGATTAAAAAGACTTCGACAGAGGCACACAGGTTACATTGCACAGGGCATGCGCTAGGCAAGATCAACGTTAGCAAGATTAGCATTATTTGAGGCTACAGACTCCATTGTTCAGCCTGACAATGGCTGGGAAGAAGCTGTTCATGAACCTGCTCGTGCATGTGTTCAGGCTTCTGTATCTTCTGCCTGACGGAAGAGGTTGCAGGAGATCATTACCAGGATGCAATGGATCTTTGATAATGTTGGCAGCCTTTCCGCAGCAGCAAGCCGGTAAATGGAATCCATGGATGGAAGGTTGGCTTCCGTGATCTTCTGGGCTGTACACACTACCTTCTGTAGTTTCTTTACAATATTTATTCATTACTCAGAGGAAGGAAGTGAATGGACAGTGGCCACATTTGCAGATGACACTAAAATAGGTGGAAAGACAGGTTGTGAGAAGGATACTAACAGTTTAAACAGAGATAGTGATAGGTTAAGTAAGTGGGTAAAAAGTTGTCAAATGGAGTATAATGTGGGAAAACACAAAGTTTTTCATTTTGAAACAGAGAACAAAAGAACAGAATATTTAAATGGAGAAAAACTGCAGAAGGCTGCAACACAAAGGGACGTGAGGTTACTTGTGCATGAAACACAGAAAACTAGCACCTAGGTGCAGCATGTAATCAGGAAGGCTAATGGATGTTGGATCTTATTTCAAGGGGGTTGGAGTATGAGTAGGAAGTTTTGCTGCAACTGTACAAGGTGCTGGTGAGACCACATCTGGAGTACTATGAGTAGTTTTGGTCCCCTAATTTAAGGAAGGATATTATTTAATTGGAGGCAGTTCAGATAAGGTTCACCAGGATGATTCCCAGTGTAGGGGGATTCTCTTATGAGCAAAGGCTAAACAGGTTGGGACGCTACTTGCTGGAGTGTAAAACAATGAAAAGGGATTTGATTGAAACGTCGGATTCTTAAGGGGCTTGACAGAATAAATGCTGAATGTTTCCCCTCGTGGGAGAGTCTATGACCAGAGGACATTGTCTCAGAATAATGGGGCACTAACTGAAGACTGAAATGAGGAGGAATTTCTTCTCCTAGGGTTGAGAATCTTTGAAATGACTTGTGGCCGAGAGCCTTAGAGGCAAAGTCCTTTAAGGCTGAGATAGATAGATTCTTGATCAGTAGGATAATCAAAGGTTGAGGGGAAAGGGCAGGAAATCAGATGTGAGTCATGTTGGATCAGTAATGATCCTATTGAATGGCAGAAAAGGCTTGAGGGACTGAACAGCCAACTACTCTTCCTATATCTTATGGTTTGACAGGCTAAAGAATCAGCGTAGTGCATTAGCTTCTACAATGAGGCAACCTTTCACAGCATTGACCAGTTCACTAACACACTTAGAAGATAGCCTAAATGGTGAACTGGTATCACCCAATGATTTTCATCATCCAAATGGAGTTCAAGAGAATGCATGGAGATCTCAAATTCTAAATCTTCTCTGAGAGTTGGGAACACAGTTGGCTAGTTTGGTAAAACTGCCACAATGTATGTCTCTGTGAACTAGAGATCAAGTTAGAGACTTGGTGGGACATGTCAACTAAGGATATATAAATATTATGATGTGATGTTTTGGATAAAGTCAAAGATTTAGAGTTGAGTAGTGTAAAAGGTTGATGTTAATATATAAATAAGATAATTTACATCATCATTGGGAGGGATATGAGATCTCATGACCACGAGGAGATGGATCTCTCTTGCAGCCTTATGGTAGAAGTCTTGACCTGTCTATATTAGTGTTTACTACAGTTAAATGAAAAGACAATATTCAACACTTGTTCAAATGACTCCTGCAAATTTACCAAGCTGTCTCCTGGATCCAATCATAGCATTTAAGTGTCATTTGATAGCATTGTCAGTAACACCTTTAACTGCTTTGCTGATCAATAAGATTAAACCAATGGGGCAATAGCTGGCCAGATTGAATTTGTTCTGCTTTCTGTGGACAGGACATATCTGCGCAAATTTCTATATTGTTTTTGATAGATGGCAGTACAGCTAAAGTGGAATAGCTTGGTAGGGGAATGGCTAGTTCTGGTGGACAAGTCTTCAGTACTGCAGCTGAGATGTTGTCAGTGCCTACAGCCTTGGCTGCACTTCGGTGTTTCCTTCTATTATATGGAGTGAATTGAATTTGTTGAACAATCCTATGGTGGCAGCCTCAGGAAGAGGCCAAGGTGGATTGTCCACTTTCCAGCTCTGATTAAGATGTTTGCAAATACTGCAGCCTTGTCTTCTGCACTGGCTGTACAGCCCTGTGTGCCGGTTTCCATCATTAATGAGGACGGGGACGTTCATGAAACCCCTGTTATTTAGTTGTCAACCACTATTCACTACTCTGACTAGCTGTCCGAGCTGCAGAAGTATAAATAAAGATGTTTAAGAGACATAAGAATGTATCTGCTTCTTTTTGAGTAGGAGGTTAAGGATAGTTTGAAAAGGGCAGAAGAGAAGCTGATATAGAGGAACAGAATCCAGCAGACCTACAGTTTGTTCTTGTTCTGACAACTTGTCTGATCTCTGCACAGATGCTGAGTGTTTTAAGCAGACTTTACACATTGCTAGTATATCAATTAATGGACCAATTCCTCAGAGCAGTGGCAATCAGTCAGCTTGCTACCACACCTTTTTGACTATCCTGCCCAGCAGATCTGCATTTCTGGCCTGAACATCCAGTTCAGACTTCTTGAGAAACATTGAGTGTACTTAATGTGGGAGTTTTCCAGTACGGCACAGGATCAGCACTGGAGGCCAAACTACACCTCCTTTTTGCAGCAGTACCTGTCATGTTGCAAGGTTTAAAGATCTGAAAGCATTTTTACAAGCTAAGGGGAGAGGTTAAGTATGTAAGGTAAGTGAGTGAGATGGTAGTTGAGATGCAGTTGGGTAAAGGGGTAGGTGTGTTGGTGAGGGAATAGGGTGACAGGGAAGTGGGTAATGATGTAGTCTGGGAGGTAGGTGGGTAAAGTGGTAACTGTGTGACTGAGGGGGTAGGGTAGTAGATATGTAGATGAGGGAGTCAGGTGGCTAAGTGAGGGTGTTATTGGTAGGGCGGCAGGTGGGTTAGAGAGTAGAATGGGTCAGATGTTGGGGGTGTTCTAAAGCTTTCATATTTATTGTTTTGTTGAAGACTTAAGCTTTGCAGGATTGTGGAAAAAAATAATTTATTTCAAGTTCAGTGGGTAGCTGGATTTTTTTAAAGTTCACTTCACATGTTGGCTTTTGTTTCAAAACAAGACATTTCTGCTGAATTGCTGGACTTGTTCACTGGATGTCACCTGTCTGGATTTCATGGCTTCTAAAGAGTCAGTTTCTGTTTGAGATAACAAGGTGCAGAGCTGGATGAACACATCAGGCCAAGCAGCATCAGAGGAGTAGGAAAGCTGATATTTCGGGTGTTTTTGAGGCAGTTGTTAAAGAAGCCTGTTAAAGAAGCTTTCAAGTTCAGTTTTCCTGTTCCTGACAAAACGCTTGCTGTGTGTCCAGTGTGGACTGCAATACTGATTGGCCAATCTTATAAGAAGCCTTTAATGGAATTCACTTCAATATTTACTGAATGACGTAAAGTTTCCAGAGTCATCTGTACATGGCTATTGTGTAGCGTCTACTATTCACATCTGCCCGTATACCTTACCAACAGCCATACAAACGTTCCGTACCTTATCTTTTCTGAAAACTAACAATTATTAGTTTTTTTTAATCAAATAGAATCTCTGCAAAGAAATTAGTTTTCTTGCTTCTTTTACTTTGTGTGTCTATGTTTGTTTGTGTTACGGTATTTAGAAGGATAAATATTTTTATTTTCATTTGACAATAATTTTTAGGTTGACATCTTTGCCCAATAGGTTTCATTTTCACAATAAATCAATAATTTTGTATATTTGAGAAACTTGGTTGATGGATCTTTTTATTCAAAACCTAATATAGAAAGTGTATATAATTTCCCATATAGATAACTGGTTAAAATATTTAAGTTTGTTTTATGACTTCGGGAGTGAGAGTAAAGGGAGAGAGTGCACTCCTCAACTTTCAGTCAAAAAATAAAAGTGGAGGCTCTAGTGGGATAATTCAAAGCTGGAAATGTGCAATTAGACGTTTCTGGAGAAGGAAGACTCTGAGTAATTTATAAAAATTAACCAAGGTTATGCTAACAGGTTTGGCAGAAAAGTTAGAATTAAAAGCAAGAGCTAGGAAAACAGAATTAATTGCGGTAATAGCTTTGCATTTGACTTTGGAGGAAGAACAAGGCCATCCAAAGTGTGAATTAATTGATTTAGCTTGAATTCAGTTGCAGATGTAACATGAGGGCATAAAGGAAATTAGAAAACTTTCCAGAGAGAAAGAGAGAAAGGAAATTTAAAAAGTTGGAATTGAAATTTCAGGCAGGGGAGAGGAAAGTCAACAAAATTAAGAAAAGAAAAAGAATAGAAGCAGGAGAAAGCAATGAATAAAGAACAGGAATAGTGGCTTAGGAAGCTAGAAGGGCAAAAGGAGGAACTCCCAGGAACCTTCCAATGGGAAGGACATGAATTCAACCATGGCCCAGTGGGTAGATATTTAAATTTGAGCAAGCCTTTCTGCGATTCGATGCAAGGGATCCAGAAGCATTTTTCATTTATTTAAGATATTAGTTAAATAGATGAGGTGCTTAAAAGAAAACTGAATATTACTTGTGCAAAGCAGGCTAATGGAAGGCATTCATAAGTTTTATGTCTTGCTTCTAAGAAACCTTTTACAGATTGAGGTGGCAGAAAAGTGCGTATGAGTTTGTTCCTAATGCTGACAGGCAGAAATTTTTGAACCTCTGGAAACAACAACCTGGACAGACTTATGTAGAATTTGAGACAGTAAAGTAAAATAATATTGAATGTTGGCATTAAAGGTATGTAACTCTTATGGAAATATCATTTGGAATCCCTACAGAGTGGAAACAGGCCCTATAGCCCAACAAGTCCACACTGACCCTCAGAGCATCCCACCTAGACCCATTTCCCATAACCCACCTAATCTACACATCCCTGAACACTATGGTCAATTTAGCATGGCCAATCCACCTAGCCTGCACATCTTTGGACTGTGGGAGGAAACCAGAGCACCCAGAGGAAACCCAAGCAGACATGGGGAGAATGTGCAAACTCCACACAAACAGTCACCCAGGGGTGGAATTGAACTCAGGTCCCTAGCACCATGAGGTAGCAGTGCTAACCACTGAGCCACCAAATAATTCTTTAAAGGAATTTAAAATCTCACCCTCTCTTTCTATTCACACAGAAAGGTGGCAACAGCAAGACAGGCAACTAAGACAACTAATGATTACAATCTTGTCTGAACACTTTCTCCGTCACCCCTAAAACCTCAACAAGTTTG